TCCTAGTGAGCATTTCTTTGATAGTATTCTAGTAAATACTATTAAAAGCTTTTCCAAATCAAGTTTTAGGAGAATTAGAGGAGATTTACCCTTGGAATTGATCATGGAATGAATAAGCTTATTAGTGATAATGATATTGTCATATATACATCTACTAAAAAGTAAACCAGATTATTCTTGTGTTATAAGAAGTTGAAGATTATTTTTAAAATGATTGGCAAGAACCTGGTGAAAAGTTTGTAAAGGGTGCTCCATAGGGCAATCAACCTAAAGTCCTCTATTCTAGATGTGTTAGGCTTTTTGGGGATAAAAACTGAAATAGTTCTACTCTAATTTTTAGATAAGCTGTTGTTAGCATGAAATTGGGCAAAAGCATAAAAAATAAGTGATAATAGAATTTCTCACAAAAAGAGTTATACGAATCTACCAACAACGCAAGGAGAGATGGGTAATTATCCCTACTATGATTAATTATAGTCCTATTCCAAAGGTAGTAGTAAGAGGCAAAATGGGTGATAATAGAATCTATATCACTAAGAGTAGAGGGGGAATTGGTTTCAATATTATAAGTGGTATTGTCTTTTATAAGCTAAGGTAACTTTATGAAAAAACTTCATTTGTATCTCCTTCATTGATCCAATGAAACTTAGCTTTAGTCGAAGGTAGTTCTATCTATTTAAAGCTATAAGTTTATTATGAAGGGCTTGAAGGGTTTGACACTCTTCACCAGAGGTACTGTCATCATTATCTTTCTTTTCTAGTAAAGAGATATTTTGAATGGTAGTTTTAACATCGTGTTCAAGGGTTCTCTATCAATAGGTGCGAGATAGAGAAGGCCTAATTAGTAAGAGAAAGATATTAGTATATGAGTCAGGAGATCACTAAGGTTGAATTTGGAACTTTATATATTATTGACAAAGTTGTCAACATCAGGAGAGGAAAGCCAATGATTAAATCAGAAGAGTTTGCTTTTGTTTTTATCGTTGATAGTAGAATCTACTTTAATCAAGAGGGGGGGAGTGATCATAAGTAAAAATACAATCAAGTTTGGCGAAAATATGAGAACTATCAAAGCGATTATTGCACCAAATAAACTGATGACCCAAAAAATTGAGATAAATGATATTAGTATTAAAGATAAAGTTACGAAAATCAACAACATAAAGAGTTACTAGAAAAGGATGACCACCAACTTTATCTTCTAGAAATAATATTCATATCCTTATAAATAAACAAAGGAATATTCAAGTTAGCTAATTGATTCGAAAGGAGACTTCTAATAGAAGTCAATGTATTAGTATAAATGGAAGATAAGAGCCCAGGAGACTTATTTGATTCTTCAAAAGCAATATTAATATATTGGTTATTACCAAAGTTCTAAATCAATCATGCTTCCATACTTAATGATACCACCAGAGCCACTACGGAGAAGAAATCTTCTCATGCTTTGTCAAGGCATCTTATGAATCAGGCATTTTCTTTTATTAAATCTCGGATTTTGATGATGAAATCAATTGATGAAGTTATGATCGAATCAGTGTTTGATACTCTTTCCAGTATAGTTTTCCACTTCATTCTTATACTTTCTGAATTTTTCAAAGGCCTCATACTTGTATTTTGTCAAGTTCATATGTCTATACCTTGAGAAATCATTAGTAAAAATAATACAGTAGGAGTAACCACCTATGGCATGAGTTGACATAGGTCCACATACATCACTATATATGAGTTCCAACAGCTCGATGGCTCTCTATCTCTAGTTCCACTAAAAGGAGAGTTGGTCAATTTTCTAAGAAAGCAAGGCTTGCAAGTTACATATGACATATAGTCAGTTTTCCTCTATCAACACTCAATAGTCTTCGTAAGATTGGCTACCACTCCCGATGATCGGTTATGCTAGATTTGAAATCTCTAGACCTATAAGTCCGATATCAAAGAGTGGAGTACTCATACAGGATATCCTTGGTGTCTCAAGTCTAAAAACCAAATATACCACTAGGACTACAAAAATCATTGTTTGACAATAAGGCATCATCAACCATCCAGCATTCCATAAGCGAATCAATCAGTAAACTCATTCTCTAATGAGCATTTGTATTGTATCCCTAGTGTCCTCACATGAGCAACTATGAGACCAACTATATCCATCATATGGACAGGTGTACAGCACACCAATCTATCCGGTTATCTCGATTTCTCTCTTTGAGTAACCTATGATCGAAATTATTTAAGATCTGTATTTAAAAGTGAATCAGTCTTATTATCGTGATCTCATCACGATCCGATTCTCATTGTATAGATCCAAGGACATCACCATATATATATATATATATATATATATATATATATATATATATATTATATATATATATATATATATATGTATATATATATATATATATATAT